TAATTTACATGAATTTCATAATTTGAGAAGCTAATTATATTATTTTCATATTATTTTTAAAATCTTAAAAATCTTTCAATTTTTTTGAATTTTAAAACATTATTGAAATTCTGAATATATCAATAATTCATATACATATACATATACATATACATCTAAGAGAGATGTATCAGAGTATCCAAGAAAGGACAATGATATGGATTATCAATAAGAGGAGACTTTTTTTAAAAATTAAATAATAAATTTTAAAAATATTATGATAAAATAAAATGTACATTTAAACAACTGTTGCTACTTATTTTAGGAGATTAATATCTCTAAGGTTCAAAATTTTAAAAACGTTTAGCATGATCCTTATTTAATACTGAATCACGTGGTAACTTCTTAGCGATAAAATTGAATTAGATATTAGTCATAGAGCATAAATTGTTAATGGCAAAGTTCATTTAACCCAACATATTAGACAATCAACAATTTATAATTTATTTTATTCCTCATTCTTTATATTTTGAAAGTAAAATAGAGAATGTCCTCTTTAATCACTCTCTATTTTATTCTATATTCTTAATTATAGAGAATTGAATAGTATTTTTTGAATATTATATTATTATTTCTATTTTTTTTGTAATTAACATATTATCTTTTATATAAGGCTATTGGTTAAATCTTTAATATATGCAATCTTTTTTGAATTTAATATAACATTTTTAAAAATATTTTATTTTATATATACTAATTTAATCTCAAATAATGGTTTAAATATATATATTTTTTAATTTTCTTCATTTTGTGATACAATTTGATGTTATATTAGTTTCCACTATGACGAATGCACAAAATTTAAATAATAAGATAAAGATTTTAATTTAAAAACATAATAAATACTAACACAATAATTTAAATACAAGACAATAGATACAATGCATAACATAATAATTTCAAAATCACAACAATAATTTAGTAATTCGGTAAGTCGTTTCTAGATTTAACGACATTCGAAAAAGGAATTAGTGTATGATTTAAAGAAGTTGTGATTGTGATTGTGCTTGTTGATTTCTTTTTTCAATTATTCATAGTTATTTTTCAGAAATTTAGAATAATATATAATTTAATATTAAATAAATTTTTTCAAAAAATAAAATTTTTATATTACATGAAATTATATAGGACGATTATTTATAAAAAAGGAAATACGATTTATGTTATGGAACAAGAAAACAAAAAGGAAATAATAATAATAATAATAATAATAATAATAATAATATCGAGGAGAGAAAAAAAATCTTTTTTAAAGAGTAAAATAGAAAATTAATTTGGAGTTTATTATCTAAAAAAATAAAAAAATTTATATTTAGAGAGTAAAATAGAATGTAGAATTGGAGATGCTCTTATTGAAGGTCAAAATTACACTATTTAATGAATTATTTTACTAAATTATCCTTGTTGATGGTTATTGAAGTTACAATTTCAATAAATTTATAACGCGTAAATGCTCATAGTACTAAGATTAATATTGAGAAAATATATCTCTCTAAATTTATTTTAGCAAATGAGTAAAAAGAGTTACATTTTTTAAAGGAGATATTTGCAAATAGCTATTTTAATAAATTTAATTATACTTTATAATTATAGTTGACATATTTACATATTGTAGTTATCGTTTTAAGCTGTCTTGTTTGTATGTCTGGATTTGTATAAATTGGTGAATTTGTATAATTTGTGGGTACATTTATATAATTTAGCTATTTTTATAATATTTGAAATAAATTTATATAATTTAATTTAATTTTAAAAATAATTAGATTAACTTTTGAAAAGCGTAACATAATAAATACGTGAATGAAGAGAGTAATTGAGAACCCTTCTTGACCTTAATTAATATGAAATGATACGTTTGGAATTTTTTTTCATTTTTCTTATATATAAAAAGAAGTAATTAAAATCCTTCTAAACAATTATGTAGGTTTTTTATTTTTTTTTATAAAAAACAATATTTTTAAACTTCTTCATTAAGTAAAATAATCGCAATAAGATTATTCAATATATGGATACAATGCAAAGATTTTATAAAATTGATGCAATTTAAATGGATGAATATAGCTTATTAGTTTATATTTTTAAAGCTATATTATTAAAATTGAAATTTTTAACCAAACTGAGTCATTATATAAAACAATTTACCAAAGTAATATATTTTTCTAAAATTTTACAAAAATTTACTGCGAGTAACGTATATCAATCTGACGCCATTAACTTTTTAAAAATAAAATATATCCTAAAATGTTACTGTGGAATACGTTTATACTAGTTTTGTAAAATTTTAGAAAAACATATTATTTTGGTGAATGACTTTATATAATGGCTTAGTTTGGTTAAAATCCCTTGAAATTGACATGAGAAATATCAAAGTTGGCTTAAGATGATTTTGACTAATACACGTTAAACATTCATAGAATGCATATAACTTAAAATTCTTTTTATAAAATATTTGCCATCAAATCAATTCTTTCTTCACCACACAATAAAATAAGTTAGGTCCTTTTCCTTATAAATAATGAAACTTGTAAGATTATTAAATCTTGAGATCTCAGCAGCCAAAAAGGTAATTAAAGGGGTTGCAATTTTCATGTTAAAACAGTGATAATTAGTTGGTTTGCCATTTATTCTAAAGTTAAAATCATTTCTCCCTTTTAAGTTTAAAGACTTGCAAGTTTCAATAACATGGCCCGGTACATTGCTTCTTAATTAAATCACTTCCTCTTTGTGAATTAACTACTACCAATCATTTACTACTCTTTAGGGAGTACTTAATAATAATATTTTTTTTTAAAGAAAAAAAGACTAGCTTCTTAACCCTAAAACCTCATAGTTAAATAAGATTGAATCGATCAAAATTACATATATAAAATTATAATGATACATGAAATAAGGAAAAAATTTAACAGGTAGTTGAACAATATGAATTAAAAAAAGATAAAAAAAAATATAGGTTCGTGGGATTTAGAGTTATACTCATGTTCTGTGCGGTACTGGACAATTTACTCGTGAATCTTTCACGATCTTGTAAGCCTGATTGATAGTTTAAGATCACTAAGAGAATGAAGAAATACTAAGAAAACTTTGTATTGTTTGGAAGATTGCTTACAACTTGTTGAATGCCTTCACAAATGAAAGTCCCTCTATTTATAACTTAGCGGGTCATCAACGGGCTATGCCACTGATAAAAATTGCTATTTTATTTTTCCTGCTTCATCCAAAAATAAAATAAAATAAAAATTACAATCCTTTAAAAACAATGTGTCTGTCAAGAGAAGAAATTCCATATCCTTAGAATGTATTTTCCTAGACCTATCAAATCTTCATCATGTTTGTAAAATTAATCAATATTCTCTCAGAATATGACATATTTCATGCTTAACATAGCAACTAATTAATTAGGTACCACGTAACCTTGAAATTTAACAAAACGTTGACAAATAATGCAGTTTAAAAGTAGTATTATATTCCACGGACAAATTTTAATACCTTTTAATCTTTACCTTATTGATGTAGTCATCTTCCAAACAAAATCTTTTACTTCACATTCTTAAATACACTCTTTGGGTAATGTACCTTTTTTCTTTACTCAAGTTTTGGCTACTTGTCTATATTTTAAGTCAAAACTTATGTCACTATTATTATTGATTACATGCAAATTCCTCATTCAATATTTTTGTATAAATACCTATGCATAGTTATTTTTTATAGCATAACCATTCTTACAATCTCAAAGAGAGAAAAGCTACGTGATAAAAGATCGAATATAAACCCTTTTCATGGCTCGAGTTATCATTCAATACATCACAATATTCTTTTTTCTTCATCTCCTTTTAGTGAGCTTGGTCATGCACGCTACGGAAGCTAGGCCATTTATAATGGTGCAAAATTCAGAAAAACATTTTAACGTTGTGGTGAAAAACTCCGGTCCTAGTCCTGGAATCGGTCATCATGACTACGGGGATTTGGAGAAACCTATTGTTATTGGACATAATTCTTCTGGTCCAAGTCCTAATGAGGGACGACACAAGTAATTATTATAAAATTAATTACTCAAACTTAGAGAATGTTTGAAGAAGCTTAGTGTTGGTGGTTCATTTCATCCGAAAGTAGTCAAGAAATATATAATACTATACTACGTACTATAGTGCAATAAGTACGTAAGTTGTCAATAAAAATGAACAATTATTAAGAAGACAAAAAAATGTTTACGTGTTACTTGTACGATTATTGTGGATTATGTCATACGTTTGATGTATTTAATATGTTGTTTCTGTAATTAGTCACTATTATAGTATTATATTCTTCATGTATGATATAGTGTAAGATCGATTGCTTCCTTACTGTAGAACAATATGTATAAAGAAAATAAAATCTATCGCATAGTATTACTACTCAGTGATGGGAAACTTGTTAACTTTAAGTACATATATAGCATGCAAAGACTATATATTATAATTAGTTGCCATATTTGCTATTAATCATTGAAAATGTATACTAGCTAATTTTATGTGGTATACAGTTGCTATGTACCTTTTTTGTTTTCCACGGCTAGATTACCCTAAGTACTACTCTGTCAACTACAATTTATATATTTAATCTGATTTTGACTTAATAAAGAAGTTTTAAAAATGTAAAGAAATTTTTTTAATGTTAAATCTTAAATTGATTAAAGATATGTATAATGTATCAAAAATGATATTTATTTTTATATTCTTAAATATTTAAGGTTAGAAAATTAATTAAATAATTATCAGAAATGAAAAATATATTATATTTAAAATAAGCTAAAAAGCAAAATAAAATAACAAAATGGACTAATAAGGAAAGTACATAAATAATTGAATATTTTATTAACTGTTATCGCAAAAGCAACGATTCACTTTCCTATCAAAGCGATTATGAATTAACTCGATCTCTAAAATGAGAAATCAAAAATCTAATGAGAAATCAAAAAGAAAAAACCAGCAGCGCTTTTCGGGGAAATAATTGAAGTAAAGATTATTTCGAGGACGAAATCATATGATTGTTCAGAAGTGCAGGATCATTTTTGCAATTTCCCTAAATCGTAGGTCAAATTGTTGAAATCCGTTTAAACCCCTCTCTGCTGTTAATGAAAACCCAAAACCCACGAAGAACCACAGTTATGGCACGGCCTTGGCTATTCCGGCGAGTCTTCCACCGCTCTCGACAGCTTTTCGCCGCCTCCGACGACGTCCAGACACTGTACTCAGCTTTTTACCGGTTGCAGTGTCACTACGCCACCACTGTAACTGATGCACAAGTCTGTAATAGGAATGAAAATGAGAAAGCCAAGTGGTTAACTCTACCACCCTTCACTGCCGCCGTTAACGGTGCTGCTTTAGGAAGGGAACTCGCCGGAGTTAAAATGGACGTCAATGAGAATTCAACCAACACCATGACAGCTCTCAAATGGGTTCAACGTTGCTGCCCCGAGTTACCGAAGTCCCTAGTGCAGAAGCTTTTTCGCTTAAGACAGGTTCTAATTCTGTTACGATCTTCAACTATTTTGTTATGTTCTTTACATATTATTGATTCTAGAATCGTGTGTAATCTATTTTTATTTTTACTTTAAAGGAAAAATACGCCAAGGATACAAATTTTTGCCTAAATTTGATCAATTTCGTCTATACAATTTCCATTTCTTCAAGTTGCATATTGCGAGTAACATTTGAAGAACTTAAGGGATTTTGTTATACTAGACGGCAAAGCTCATAGCTGATACATATAATTCTCAAGGCTGAAAGCTACAAAATTTATATATGATATTTGTTGCTGAACACTTAGTATAAAGCTAGAGATCTCATTTTCTTTTGAAATGTTAAAAACCAATATCTGGGATGATCACATTATTGATTATTCTCAATTACAAGCCTTCATCAAGAGTATTGACAATAATTACTTTGTACATGTCATACTTACTGGAACTGTAAAGGAATTACTTAATAACATTTCTTCCTTGATTTAACATTATTGTTTCTGCAGGTTCGAAGAGACTCTTCTAACGTTGAAGAACAGCGGCCCAAGAGGGTATGATTTGTTTCTCTTTTGGCATTTAGTTGTTGATTCTTAAATAAGAGATCTTGCAAGTCTATCTACTGACATCTCCATGAGATGTATTTTGAATGCTATCAGACCAATTTTTGCATTCTCAATGTTGTAATCTAATATTTCATGTTTTTGGCAGGTTTCTGCAAAGGAATCAATGAATGTTGGAGATAGAATATTTCTTCCGATAACTGTTCAGAAGTTTCCCTCTGAGAAAGTAGTTTATTACCCTTCTAGTGAAGAAGAAAGGAAGTTTGTGCATAGCCTAGAATTGTATAAGGTCCAAAATCTATATCTGATTTTTGGACTTCCCAACTCTTTATCTTCCTGCAACATCCCCCAATCTAAATCATTGCATATGAAGGGGAACATACCCAACCTATGTGCTTTATGAGTCTGATGCATTTCTGTTTTCCTGTAAAATTTCAGGATGCAGAAATTATTGTGGTCAATAAACCTCCAGGAATGCCAGTTCAGGTTAGTTGTCAATACCCAAGTTCTTTTTATTGGATTGTGAGAGTTAATATTCTTATAACAACAAATGGATCTTTGGACAGGGTGGAATTGGCATAAAACGCAGTTTAGATGAACTTGCTGCTAAGTATATGAGTCATCAGTACTCAGAGGCCCCTCGCCTGGTATGTTTCATGGTTTTAGCATTCATATTTTTTTCAAAATAATTCCCTCGTCTTCTTCTTTAGTATGTGGTCAAAAAGCACAATTCTAATACCTAGGATGTACTATGAATAATCCATTTATTTATTTTCTGTTTTTTTTGTTGATTTAGCAAGTAGTGGAAGCTGTTGTTATTTCAATTCATCCACAGCATATTCTGTTCATTGTTGTGAAAAGAAACATGTGCATCGAATGGAAGAAGAATAAGGAAGTCCATTTGCTAGGTTATAGGCTTTCATGTGTACATGTCATGCTATGGGAAAAAACTTTGTACTCCAGTCTTTATGGTTGGATTTTGAGGAAGTACGTCTCAATCTTTAGCTAAAGTCTAGAAAATGTGCACATGAAACAATGGAATTGTTGGAAGATTTCAATATTGTTTGACTCGAGTTTCATGGATGTTATACAATGAGAAGATCTCTCTTCCCTGTGTCAAGTTACTCTAATTGCTCTTCCCTTTCTTCTGCTACTTATGTTAGAAGGCATTCTAAATGTCCTCTTGTTTGTCTTTCTGGATTGAGTACCCTTTTGGTGAATCTTGTGTCTGTTTGTCCTGTTGCGGAGCTTATTGTTTATTAGGTGCACAGACTGGACAGAGACTGCAGTGGACTATTGGTGATGGGAAGAACACAATTAAGTGCTTCAGCTTTGCATTCGATCTTCCGTGAGAAAACATTTGACTCGCAAAATGAGGTATACTGTGTCTCCCTGCAATATATATGGTGAACTTACTAATGATTGCACTTCCCGATTTTATTTTCTTTTCCAAACCTGATATTGCCTTTCTCTTCTGAAAGGATCTTGAAAGCAAGAAAAGAATTTTGCAGAAGAAGTACTGGGCGCTTGTCATAGGATGTCCAAGACGCTCCGGAGGGATAATATCAGCACCACTTGGAAAGGTTAGGGACAGTGACGTATCAATCAATCTTACAGAAACTATCTATCTTGTTTCCACCCCAAATTTTGTTGGAATCGGCTACATGAGTTTTCCATTTTCATTCTAGTCTATTTGAGCATGTTCATCCCAATACTAAATGATTTACTATCTTTTAAGACAATTTTAGGGGAGTCCTGCAATAAATAAGAAATTGGGGAAGGGGGATCCCCTTTACCTTTTCTTTTTCTGGAAGTGTTATTGAATCTTGAGTTTATTCTAGAACATATACGAGAGTTTAAACAACCTTGTAACTGATGGCTTGCATATCTTTACCAACAAAGATGGATTAGATAACAAATGAAAAATTAAAGATTTATGCCTGATATAACTTTTAGGACTTTGTTAAGACTTCATTATAATCATGTAAATCCTAATCCAAGATGGACTACAATTCGTGTTAATTGACCCCCAAATGTACTCTAATTTATCCTTGCTGGAGCTGTAGAGTTGCTATGTGTGGTGCCGGATAGGGGGGATTCCATAGCAGAAATTCAAACCACTCTCTTGCTTCTCTTGCATCAATAGCTTGATGCATTTATAATCATATTTTTGCTAAAGAACAAGTTGATAGTTTCTTAGCTTTCCTTCTCTCAGCTGGTGTTAGACAACGGGAAATCTGAGCGCATCACAATCATGTCGGATGTCAGAGAACCATCGGCACAGTATGCTGTAACAGAGTATCGCATCATTGGATCCTCTGAGAAAGGCAAGTTCTGAATGCTATCCTGAATACCTACATAAACAAAGGCATGGAACTAAATAAATGAAATGTGGTTGATTATTCTTGGTAACCTCTTAATACACCTTTTAGTTATGTAGCTCTTATAAATTACACAGATCAATGCATCTGCGTTCTCTCTCTCTCTCAATATATATACATATATAACATTTACATTCTTTCACACCCACATACACAGCAGGTGGAGGTTCCACCGAAGCTCTCGTGAAGAGTGTAATTCTTCTTTTTCTCTAAGGTGGTTCGGCAGGGGAGGGACATAGCTCAGACTCTTCCAAAATATTGCCAGGTGTGTCAGATCCTCCAAAATGCTATGCATTTTTGGAGGATCCGAGACGGGTACGTCAACATTTTTGGAGAGTCCGAGCAACATAGACTTAAAGTGTGGTGCAGGGAGTTGGTACAAATAGGAATATATCGTACTCTTATTCCAGTTACGCATTTAAGTTTGACTTGGTTCAATCAGTTAAGGAACAAGGTGATTTACATATTGGTCTATTAACTTCTTAACATTTTTCTCTTTAAAAGTTGAATTCTGAAATGATTGTGTGAAGTGTGCAAGTTTCATCACCGAGACCTAAAGAATAATCTACAGGAGAAGAACTTCTTTTTTAAAATCATTTCAAAGAATGAGCCGTGATATTCAGTTTTGAGTAGTTAAAGACAAAGGCAACACATATAGGTCTCGGATAGTTAAAATTTTTAGGGCTTATGCTGCTGTAGTGTTGTTGAGCTGCTTGTTGACATAGCATGGATTTTATGTATTGGGAAATGGGAAAAACGTCTCCATTGATATATACTTATTTGAGGATAGATTTAATTGCAGAATGCACCTAGACACATATTATCCAAATCATTCTTAGTTTTTCTGTTAGTTATACGCATACATGTGCCAATGGCCAAAGATAGTTACTAGCTCAGCTTGCATTATTTGGATTTGTACACAAACAGTTATAGAGAATTGGTTGCTTCTTCGTTTTAAGATATCAACTCTCATATCTTTTCAAACATATTTGTTTATGGATATATATTTCTCTTTTGGTGAATTCCAGGTTACACATGGCTAGAGTTATCTCCACTTACGGGCAGAAAGCATCAGGTACAGGAAACTGCTTCTCTGTAATGGTAGCTTCAATTTTTTCTGTTATGCTAGTGATTTTATTTTATATTTTTCTTGATAAAGTTAAGCTAGTGTATATTAAACTGATTATTTCACCCTCTGTTTTTGAAGTTGCGTGTTCATTGTGCTGAGGCATTAGGGACTCCAATAGTTGGAGACTACAAGTATGGTTGGCAAGCTCATAGAAAGCTGAAACATCTGCCTTTGCCCACTTCAGTGTTGAACCTAGTTGTGGAAATTCCCAGGCAAAAACCAGATCCTTTCAACCTTCGTTTAGGGAATGGAAGTATTTCAGACAAGCAGCCTCATCTTCATCTTCACTGTAAGGAGATGGTTTTGCCCAATATTTCTCTAGCTTTGCAACGAGCTCAAGTAGTTTCAGATGCTGATCTCGTAGATGTTGAAAGTATCAAGCTGGTTGCTCCTTTGCCCTTCCACATGCAAAAGAGCTGGGATTGCTTGAGTGCTTGATTTGTCTTAGAAATGATGGCTTCTACTGAGCCACAAGTGCACTACTACAGAGCTGGAGTGAGGACACTGACTATTACCTCTTCCCGAGAGAATTCACAATATGATGCACTTATTGTTAACAAGCTCATCTCACCGATTGACTTCCTGCTGTGGAGAGTGAGATCATACTTCATTATGTAATATTGGCATAGTTTTGAGTTTTGAATACCAATTGGTCAAAAGCTTGTATAGTTTGGCCAACTTGAGCTCGACCCATGACATGAAATCAGTTAAGGTTCAGGTCCAAGTCCAAGTTCATTGGGCTGTGTGGGCTAGGCATCATTACATAGATCAGAACCGGGGACTCGGTCCATTAGTCTGGGTGTTGACACCCTATCAAGCCCAAAGAGTAGGTTAATGTTCCCAACTTGTAGCATTTTCTTTTTTTCCATTTTAGTAAATGGGAATATCAAAGGAACATTTCATTATTGCAGATTCTTGCAAAACACTATATTTATGTATTATTCTTTTCCCAATTGTGATGGTGTATGATATAATTAATTTGCATGTACGTGTTGAAGTCAATTATGTGCATCGGTAGGTTTCCGGTCATAGAACAACGTTGTCATTTGATGAAAGACGTTCCTCCTAATCTCTTTTTTAAATCTGTTGACAAACTCATGATTAAGTGGACAATAGAAAACAAATTAGTCGTGCGTTATACAACAAAGACACGTTATTTGACTTTCATTCACTTAAAAAAATAATATGTTTAAAGCTAATTATCGTATTAATTTTATTTAATAGAATAATTTAAGTTGTTAGAAGGGAATACGAATACCTGGTTTCTTTTGTTTTTCCATTCGAGGAAGTTGGTAAAAATTTGATAATTTACCTAACTGATAGACCCTTTTCTCAGCCTTCAAAATTTTTCTGTATTTTCCTCCAAAAAAAAATATGATTTATTTGCTATATCCTAACTAATCCGTTTTATATTAGTTTCTTGTACGTCACATCTTTATACTAATACGAGTTAGTACATTTATGAATTTTCCCCAAAAATCTCACATAATTATTAGGAAAAGTATCTAAATATATCATACTTAGAAAATAATTATTATTTATAGTCATATAATTTTAATGAAAAGTACAATTCAGTTTTGATATATAGGGTACATTTTAAGACATTTATTATATATCTATATTGCATACGGAATTTACTTTCGTATATAGTGTAATACATCTATATTACATGCATAGTTCGTTTTGCATCTTATTTTTTTTTATCAAAAACAAATATAATACATCTATAACATATATGCACAGCATATATAGTTCTCTTTTGATATATAGTGCAATAGCTATAAATAATAAATATTTTAAAAATATAATATAACAAGGTAATAAATAAAAATAATATTTAAAAGCAATAATAATTTTATAAAAAGCCCTCGAAAAGTAATTATCACTATTTTTATTCTTTTGGCCAAAATTGCACATTTTGGGCTAAAATAATTTTGATTAATAATATGATATATAAAGGTTGTTAAAATAATAAAATAATGATATATAAAGGTTGTCAAAAATAATAAAAATTCTTATATATAAAGGTTGTCAAAAATAATAAAAATGATATTATATAATGTAAAACTTTATCACGTCTATACTGTTTCATGTTATCATGTGCGATCCATTGTAACTATCTGATTTCCGTCGTTAGGGAAAAACCAATGGAAAAGAATTGAGGCCAGAAAACTTTCTCGTAGTAACTAGAGATTTCCTAGTCTAGTCCAAGTTTGGACGAAATAGGAATCAATGAAATTCTAGGGAAATCTGATTTATCGAATGAGAGATGAACTTGATTACATGAATGGATAGCTAAGACATTAAGGAACCAGTATTAGTAAATATTTTGTACAAAGTATTTTTAGTTACATAGAAAACTAAATAGAGGGGTACCATTCATTTTTACACACTTTTTTTTTTGTTGAAAATTTCATTTGATAAATGTACTGATTTATTACTTAACCTCGTCTTTTATGAGCTTGTTGCGTTCATTAGGTCTGTTTTCTGACTGAATTTCTTACCAACAAAATATTTATAATGACTATATTCATAAATATTTTAAATGAATTAGTGAAAAATAATAAAATTATAAAATTTCATAGGGAAAAATTAGGAAGTTTTTTCACTATTTCAGTAATAATATGATCGTACATTTTTCAATGAGTTGATTCGATGAAAATGAATGAAATAATCATAATTTATAGCATAAAAATTTTTCATTAATTCACGGCGTAGATAATATTTATTTATAACAAGAATATCCCTAAGTATTCTAATTTAATTTAATTTATTTCAGAATCTTGTTCTATGATCTTCAATCTTTATGATTCTATATGTTTACGACACATGAAAATATTCTTTTTGTCTTTATGCCTTGTTGTCGTTAGGTGCCTGTTGTGGAGGGAGAGTTGATTTTAGAGAAACATAAATTCATAAAACAGTAAAAAGAGAATATATATTATAGTATAACATAAGTTAATGTCTTAAAGTTTTTCGAAATTGGCGATAGCTAATGAAAAAATATTAAAATTTGTGTGATTGTAGATGACATAATATTTATTTAATTATAAAATTATTCTTCAATAATAACATGAAAAACTTAAAAGTTAATTATTTTTTGATGATATAAATATGTCCTCCTTTTAAATAAATTAATAATAAAATAATTTTAAGTAAATTGAAATAAAAAGGAATAAGAAAAATATTATAAAATAGATGCATTTTTGCCCTCAACTAATCCACATAAAATTGTTTCTACTATCTGCTGTCCCTAATGCTTTTACGGTTTCTTCCTTTTTCTAAAAATTTTGTATACAATATTCGATTAATTTATATGTATCTTAATTAATTTAACGAATTATTTATCATCTTTTATTAACAAAGTTATTTTATATAATCTTGTATATTAAGTTGAATCATGTTGATTGGGTTTATGAGTTGGTGAGAAAGTTGCATCAATATAATAGCATGGGTCGATAATGATTGTGCTATATGACTATCTTAAAATAGGAATTATCTAAAAGATCAATTTGTATAAATGACGATTAATATATATGTTAAGAATTAATTAATTAATTAAATAAATGACGTGAATTTACATTCGTTAAAGTCGTGGGATGGGATGGGCCGCGGGGGGGGGGGGGTATGTATATTTTTTTCTTCATCATTCTCTATTTTTATAGCTTTACATTTACGCAATAAAAATAGTACAAGCTAAGAAAGTAATTTTTTATTCTTATATCATATATATTAAAAGTTATGTATAGATATTTATTTATTTATATAGCAATTTATTTTTCGTATAGATGACTAAACTAGTAAGTAGAATTTAGGAATATGGGGATCGATATTTATTTTTGAATAATTGATGTTTACAATAACTAAAGAATATACAATAGTTATTTTACATGTAATGTTATTTGCTTAATCAGCTAGCGTCCAACTACAAATTATGTTAAATAATGCAATATATATATATATTTTTTTAATGAGATTTGAATTTAACAACTTCGATTTATTTAGCTTATAATAAATTTAAGCTATCAAACTAAATATGTTAGGAGGGATAAATAATTCATAATATCTTTTAAATAATGTAATTGTGTATATATAAGAAAGTTTAAGCTTTCAATTCAATAATTATGTATATACATAGATTTTAAATTTCTTTAACACAAGACTAGAGGTTAACTTAATAAATAAATTCACCTTAAAATTTTAAATCTGTCACGATGTATACCGGGTGAATTTGTTTCTTACCTTCTTTTAGACGAACAGGGGGCAATCTCTTTCTATTATATTACCTAACTTTTAAGGACACAAAACCAAAATAAATAGAGTGAAATTTATAATCTACATTATTACTCCTATTATTTATTTATTTTAAAAAAATAATTGATAAAAAAACCTTACCTAAAAGGTGACGATCTAGTGACGCATCGTTCCACCAAACCCTCGTGGACCCAAATCTCCACAACAACGTTTCCTTTTACGTTAATTGGAAAAACAATCTTAGGAATAAAAGGGACAAAAAAAAATAAAGATACGAAAAGAGAAAAATAAATTTTTGATATAAAAGTTGGTGAGAGTACAATCTTTCTCGATAGGAAAAATTACATGAATAAATATATTTTTAAAAATAATTACTGATTTTAGCGATATTTTTTATTTATTATCATTAATAGCAATATTGTAATAAATCTGTAATATGTATTAAAAGTGAATTATGTATGCAATATATTTGAATTATAATTGTTTTTGAAATATATTATGTTTGTTTGGTAAAAAATTGTCACATCATATTATAAGTGTATTAAAATATGTGATAAATATATTATCCATCATTAAAACTTGTATTATATTTGAATAATAAATTTATCTTTGTGATATGTATTAAATTTGTATTATAAATGAATTAAAAATGGTCAAGTGAAAAGAAAATGTTATTGCTATAAATGGTAAATATTTTTTATTATAGTATATTTATGTAATTTTCCCATTTTAATATAGTTTTAATAAAAAGTTGAAAAATGTAGTAAGTATATTTTTTAAAAAAATTTACAAGTTAAATTAGAACTTTCGAAAGACGAAAAAGACATATATTTTCCTTTTAAATTATCTGTTTTACGATAAATAGTTTTCTTACCAAATCACCAAATAAGTTAAAAGCAAAAAGAAAAATTGAAATGGTTATGTACCAAGAAAGTAGAACAACTAACCACATTTTAAGGCTTATTCATAGCATATTAAAAATGTTTTTACTTAATGTTGTCATATAAAGTAATATTTTAAAATGTTATTCTAAGGTTGAAAGTAAAATGGTTTATTACTCAATTTGCATTTTGCAAATTTTTTGATAGGAAAACCTGAAAATTTTGAGTTTTAAAAGTTAAATCTTTTAGTTTTTTGGAAAAACAACAACTCAAACACACTTTTTTAAAAAAAGAAAAAAAATAAAATAAACACTCTAGTGATTGTCATCGGATATTAGATGACAAGAAAAGTATACTAAAAACATATTATTAATATGATTTGATTAAGTGACCTACATATTGAAACTAATGTTAAAGAACCATAAACTTTATTGAAAAAAAAAATCTCTTCATAAATAAAATTATTTAATGATTACATTGTAAATGATATTGTGTTATTAATACGAGAAGATAATATTCAATTTATAAAAATTTCTAATTTTTTCTCCGATAATCAAATATGGAAAGAGATTTTACTTTCCTTCGGGAAAAATTAAAATATTTTTGTGATAATATTTTAACTTTCCTTTGAGAAAAGTAAATCTCAAATAAGGTAAAAATATTATTAAAAAAATGGGAAAATGCACAAGTACCCCTCAATTTAGCCTACGTGGCACTAGTTTGAAAAAAAAGTCAACTATCGTTGGGCCCACAAGATAGTGCCACGTAGGTCGAAAAGGGGTAAAAAATTATTAATAAAATAAGTTCAGGGGTAATAG